TATATATATATATATATATATATATATATATATATATATATATATATATATATATATATATATATATATGTGTATGTCAGGATTCTGGACTGTTCTGTGTCATGTTTTGCCCCTGTTTCTGTTCCTGTTTTTCCTTATTTGGTCATGTTCCTCTCCTCGTTTAGTTTGATTAGTCATCCCATGCACCTGTGTTAAGTATAATCCCCTGTATTTAAATCCCAGTCTGTCTCTGTCAGGTCTACTTGTTTCTACATGTGTTTGCCCAGCTCCTATTGTGGATTTTCCTGTGTTTTCGTCATTAAAGACTGTGAATGCTACTCCGTGTCTCCTACGTTCTTCCCGCAGCAGCGTGATGTGACAGAAGACCTGACCAACACCGTTCCCTCCATGTTTTACCCTCCGTTTGTTTTCTCGGTTTTCTGTTTTTTGTTTCCTGTTATGGATCCCTTCATCCGCCCGGAATTCCTACTCCTGCTGCTGGAGCAGGAGGAGAGATCGCTTGAGGACCATACGAGACTGTTCCAACTGCTAGCAAGCACCATCAGCTACCCGGATGACGCGTTCTACGATGCCAGTCTAAACATCTAGAGCAGAGCGCCGTTGTCCGAAGATGGTGATTTAAGCAAGAAAAAAATGCATTTTATTCATTTGAAATTGATTGGTTTACAAAAAGTAATGTATCACCCTTGATACTTCTGTGTCAAGTATATTTTTCCAGCTTCTACAATGGCCTTAAGTATGGAAGCTTATTTCCACTATAAAAATAATGGATCATTTAAAGGGGTCATATGACGTTGCAAAAAAAATAACATTATTTGGTGTAATGAAATGTGTTTAGGCACATTACATTAAAAAACACATTATTTTCCACATACTGTACATTATTGTTTCTCCTCTATGCCCCGTCTTTCTGAAACGTCGATTTTTACAAAGTTCATCATTTTGAATGCCATCCTCCAGCGTAGCCATGGCTGGAGAATCCCTCACCTCTGCCTCCAGCCTCCTCGGCCCGGACTCCGCCTCGGCCCGTAGACCCAGCGGCTCCACCTCGGCTCCTAGCTCCCTCGCCTCCACTGTCACCCGTCGATCCACCGGTCTCCCTCGTCCCTCCGGCTCCGCCTTGGTCGGGTGTCGACCTGCCATTGCCTCAGGACTCCACTCCTCCGGCTGCACCTCGTCGCTCCGTCCCACCAGCTCCGTTGGGCTCCTTCCTCCCGCCAGCTCCATCTTGGTCCTCAGTCGCTCCAGCTCCGCTGCGGATCTCCGGATCTCCGCCCTGGTCGCCAGAGCCCTCGGCTCCACCCTGGCCCCCCCGAATCCTCGGCATTCCCCGCCTCGGGCCCCTCCGCCACCTGCTCCAGCGCTGTTGGTCAGCCCCCTAGAGTCGGCGGCCATTCCTCCTCCATGGTTCCTCCCTCCGTCGGCTCCACTGTGGGTCGACATTATGGCTGTGGCCTGTGTCCAGCGGGACTCCTCCTGCTCCAAGCACCTCCTGTCTCCTCCCTGGCTAGAGATATATATATATATTCATGTTTAATATTATTATATTTTGTGTTGGATCAGTCACCTGTGTCAGCAAGTGTGCAGCTGACACACCCACCTAAACGATTTCAATATAGCGCTTATCCTGCCCGAAAAGACTATACACATTGCAGATAATGTCTTGGAGAGCAGGTCATATGGGTTTTCGAAAAATATATCTTTTGCAGTTTGTAAGGTAGCTATCCTTCAATGTAAACAGTCTGCAAAGTTGTTAATCAAAAAAGTGCTTGATAAATAAAGATATTGTCTCTCAAAATAAATAATTGACTCAGATTCACCTTAACTAGTCATTATATTTTTGAATCTTCTGCCTGTTACCGATCTACGTCACTGGGTAACACATTAGCATAATCCCCGCCTGCCCACGAAATACGAACACTCTCTGTGTCGAGAAGATGCTGTCTTCCACGATACCACAGCAATACAATTTGAACCTTTTGTTGTGCTCGTCATTTTACCGAGGACTACTTCTCTAATCTTGCCTTTTATCTTGGCTTCTAATCTTCTTTATTTGGACCAACAAGCATCTCCGAACCACAACCTGTAAGTATGATTGATACGCTATGTGTACATTTTCAATTGAGTGCTCAAAATATCTAGTTTTTTTGTGCTAATATGTGATGTATAGGCCTACCTAGTGCAGCTTTAGGTTTCCAGGTAAAGCACAATATTACTGTTTTACTGAAATAGTTCTGATAATTCGCTGTAGACCCAATATTTCCTAAGAATGTGTCATTGTTCTAATTACTTTGTTTAATAATAAAGAATGTAGTGTAGCGCACAGACTTTATAATCATTGTGAAAGTGCTGTTTATGTAATTGTAGTGTTAATGCAGAGAGTAAAAGACCCGGTAGAGAGAGAGACGAGTAAGTTAGGCTGGTGCGCATGTGATACAGCTGTTCTGCGTTATAATTAAAGGTTAAGACATGGAGCGTCTTTTGTCTGTCATTCTTCAGACATTACAGTAGACATATTTTGGTTTTCAAACTGTATTGTTTCATCAGTTAGTCACGTTAGCACTCGGCTTATGTATCCACCATTATTGTTTTGTTAAATGTTTACAGTTTAGCAGCTAAACTTTAGCTGTGGGCACGATTCGCTTGCATAAGTGTTAAACAATGTTTTTTATGTCATTATTTTAAGAACTGATTGAAGCACTATATTATTGTTTTATGTAAAGGCACATGCTAGGGTTGCCAGGTTGTCACAACAAAACCCGCCCAATTGCTACTCAAAACTAGCCCAATCGTGTTTTGAGGGTGGTCCCCCGTTCTGGGGTGTAAAATACACTCTTTCAGTCGGGGTTCCCCTGGTAAATTCACATTTCAGTGCCTAAATATGATGTTATTGGGGTCGCTACAACCCGCAACATCAAAATCGAAATCATGGATTAATGATTCTATGTATAAATGTTTATTCTGGGAAAATTCCAGTGTTTTCTGACCTTAGATGCATTTAAACCTGTTGTATAGGACTCCAACACAATATTAGGATATAAACAACACAATATAAAATGTATTTACATACACTTATCTTAAAAACTAATCTTGTGTGACTGATATGCTTCAAATCGGGTGATTTTAAGTCAGTGTTTTGCGGTCAGTCAATGGTGCTCTCCGCCGGTAGTGCATAGTAAAATGGCCGCTCGAACACTTCCGGGGGATTCACCTCTGAATGGCAGTTTAGAACGTGATGAGCAATCCAGTCTCATATATAGATCAGTGTCTATAATGTATTCCCCCCCCCCAGAATCTTAGTATAAGTTAAGAAAATTCTGTCGTTTCAATTTGAAGAATGAATTGAAAGCAAGAAAGAACCAAACCATTTTCATTCCAATTGACTTTCATTGCATGAAAACAACAACAAAATAATATAATAATATTAGCTTCTTGATATTTGAAGAATGTTCCCTTTTTAGATTTTTTTTTGAGAAGTTGAAAATCTTTTTTTTTACGACATAAATATTGTATTATGTAGAAACTGGTTGACTGTTGCAAACTTTTGATGTTTGAAATTCTATTGCCAGAAGCTGAACATTCAAATCAGAGCTGAGAGAAAGACAGTGGAAGCTGGACCAGACTGTGAACGGATTATATGTATTTTTAAGCTTTCATTCAAGTCCTAATTTTATTTTGTATACAGCATGCTAGAAATTCAGTTTTATCATGGGGTTTATCACAGTCCCCAAAACTTAAGTAAACAAAATTACAAAGATCCAAATCTGAAACAATTTTTTTTTGTCATGCACAGATTTATTCATTTGTCTATTGTACAGATGATTTTGATGTACAGATTTTTTATTTTTATTTTTTTTTTTGATGTAGCCTATACATTTCATCTCCTATGTCATGGCCAAAAATACTGCCACCCTTGGTAAATATGACCAAAGAAGGCTGTGAAAATTAATCTACATTGTTAATCCTTTTGATATTTTATTTAAACAATTCACAAAAATCTAACCTTTCACTGGATTATAAGAATTTAAAATGGGGCGCAATATCATTATGAAATAAATGTTTTTCTCTAATACACATTGGCCACAATTAACGGCACCCTTTTATTCAATACTTCTGGAAACCTCCATTTGCCAGTTTAACAGCTCTAAATTTTCTCCTATAATGCCTGATGAGGTTAGAGAACACCTGACAAGAGATCAGAGACCATTCCTTCATCCAGAATCACTCCAGATCCTTCAGATTCCCAGCTCCATGGTGGTGCTTCTCCTCTTCAGTTCACCACACTCATTTTCTATAGGGTTCAGGTCAGAGGACTGGAATGGCCATAGCAGAAGCTTGGTTTTGTGCTCAGTGACCCATTTTTGTGTTGTTTTTGAGGTTTGTGTTTGGATTATTGTACGGTTGGAAGATCCAAACATGGTTTTTGGATGAGCTAGGAGAATTTTTCTTGAAACCCTCCCAAACAACATGTGGTGATATAGGTGCTGTTAGACAATTTTTGTTTTTAAGGTTTTCTGACCCAGAGACTCAACTATCTGCAATTCTCCAGCTGTGGTCCTTGGAGAGTCTTTAGCCACTCAAACTCTCCTCCTCACCGTGCATTAGGACGATACAGACACATGTCCTCTTCCAGGCAGTTTCGTAACATTTTAAGTTGATTGGAAATTCTTAATTATTGCCCTGATGGTGGAAATGGGAAGTTTCACTGCTCTAGCTCTTTTCTTAAAGCCACTTCACTAATTTGGGAAGCTCAATTATCTTTTGCTGCACATCAGAAATATATTCTTTGATTTTTCTCATTGTGATGGATGATTAAGGGAATTTGGCCTTTGTTTTCCCTCCTATTTATATTCCTGTGAAACAGGAAGCCATGGCTGGATAATTTCATGTTCATAATCACCCTGGAGTGCTCAAAATTGTGAATATGAATGGGAATATACTTCAGAGATATTTTACTCATAAGAATCTCTAGGGGTGCCAATTATTGTGTCCAACATGTATTTGAGAAAAACATTTATTTCATAATTATATTTCCCCCCATTTTAAATTCTTATTATCCAATGAAAGGTTAGATATTTGTGATTTTTATTTATTTATTTATTTTTTTAACAATGCAGATTAATTTTCACAGCCTTCTTTGATCATATTTACCAAGGGTGCCAATATTTTTGGCCATTACTGTATATGAAAACATTGGTTAGAGGAAGAGAGGATGTGGAAGATGACTAACCTGAATACCACTTGTTGCGTCTTTACGAACTGCGTCGTAATGCCTCAACTTCTACCGCTGATGTTACTAAAAAAAAAAAACTGCAGGTGCTCCACGTAAGAGTAAGCAACACAAATAGACTACACACGCTCTTAATTTGGTTTGAAAGCGCATTATTGAGGCATATATAAAGAATGCAATTATTAAACGCATAGAAAAAAAAACTTATTGCATAAGAGCGTATATCATGTAGGCTACTTAAGTATGTGCGTGTGTGAACGCGCTATGAATAATACACGATTGTTCTGACCTCTTGTGGTGAAGTTACTCAACTGCTGACAAAGTTTTAATCGTGTTTATATTTTTAAATGAATGAAAGAATAAAAATAATTACAAAATCACGTTCACACACCAAATACATATTTAATCTAGATGTCAATTTTATATTAATCCATTGCAGTTCACTTTTATTTATTTATGTTTGTTTCTGTTTTCGATCATTTCAATGTATTTGACCATAATCCACAACCTCCAGGTGGTTCAAGCAACACAAGCACAGAGTATAAAAGTGTCTGTGTTGTATATATCTTAATTTGGCTTGAAAGTGCATTATTGTGCCACAGGACAGGGTTTTCCAAAAATTCGGTGTAAATGAGAAGTGCAAGAGTGAATGTTAGAAGTTTAGAAATGTCATTATATGTAATAATCCATGCATCTATCATGATTTGAGAGTAGCATACTAAACCAGTCCGTATAAAGTGTGAAATTTATATGAATAAAATTCTAGCTCCTGCAAGTAAATTACTATTTCTTTCTTTCTTTTTTTCTTCTCCAGTGTTGTAGTAATGGCATCTTACAGTATGTCACCTCACAGCAAGAAGATCCCTGCTGAGTCCTGGCTGAGCTAAGAAGCCTTTCTGCATGGAGTTTGCATGTTCACCTTGTGCTGGTATGGGTGTCCCCCACAATCTAAAGATATGCAGGTTAGGTGAAATGGATACACTATATTTCTCCATAATCAGAGATTGTGTCCCAGCTCTGGGGTTGCATGAGTTTCTCATAGTCTCAGTATCACCCCATTTTAAATTCTTATTATCCAATGAAAGGTTAGATATTTGTGATTTTTATTTTATTTATTTTTTTATTTTTTTAACAATGCAGATTAATTTTCACAGCCTTCTTTGATCATATTTACCAAGGGTGCCGATATTTTTTGGCCATTACTGTATATGAAAACATTGGTTAGAGGAAGAGAGGATGTGGAAGATGACTAACCTGAATACCACTTGTTGCGTCTTTACGAACTGCGTCGTAATGCCTCAACTTCTACCGCTGATGTTACTAAAAAAAAAAAACTGCAGGTGCTCCACGTAAGAGTAAGCAACACAAATAGACTACACACGCTCTTAATTTGGTTTGAATGCGCATTATTGAGGCATATATAAAGAATGCAATTATTAAACGCATAGAAAAAAAACCTTATTGCATAAGAGCGTATATCATGTAGGAATACTGCCCATTTAAAATGTTTATGAAGGGAGTGGCTTGTGAAACACTACATTTCCCATGATTCTGATAGTTACAAGCCTTCTCATGAAAGTGCATATAAATAGTATGCCAAATAAAAACGAAAACGTGTGGTATTGATACGCAAAAATGGTCTTTGGCGTGCATATGATACGCATGTGTTTGGCGTGACTGGGCTCATTGCCCTTTTAGAGCTATTTATTATCAAAAATTTGGAATATACTTCATATTTTTACAAAAATCAGTTGTTTATAGCCATCTACCTTACATTTAATAAAAAAATATGATATATATATATATATATATAGATAGATAGATAGATAGATAGATAGAGAGAGAGAGAGATACTAGAAGTTTTGAAGTAGTTTTTATTGAAATAGTTTTGTAATTAAGTAATATTGCCATTTTAGCATAAATCTTATTTGTAGAGTATTAGAAGACATTATGTTTATAGTAAGCATTACTGAATTAGATTGAGATTTTTTACATTTAACACATATAGGATGCAAATAAGTAAGAATATCAGGCTGTATTTAAACCACATTATCACAGGAAAGAGTTCATCAATTCTTTCATCAACTGGTACATAAGTGATGAATCAGAATTTCACCTTCTGTTGACTTTATTTAGAGAAAATAATAAGAAAATAATCTGTAATAGTAAACTGTTTTATCAGCTGAAGGGAAATCATATATATCAAGGATATAATAATGGTGGTGCAGGACATTATCACTGTAATTTGAAAGGCCTCTCTCAGGCTCTGTAGTGCCTCCATCTGAATGATTTCCCCCCATGCTTCAGGTAATATTGCAGGTGCACACTGCTATTTTTGAGCAAATCTACTGTTGTACCTCATGAACACGTACCTCCAGTAGACTGCTGCCCCATTATTCCTAGGATCTTCTGGGTAAATTTTCCAGTCTAGGTAGATGGATTGGTACTCCTTAAAGGGCAGAGACTGGCCTGCTGTTTCTCTGTTTTGAAATTGGTTTTGTCCTGCAATATCTGCACAGCAGGTGCTGTGCGACAGAGTAGTGGAGTTGTTATTGGTATAACACACTAGACCTTTGGGGCGATGCACAACTGCTTTGTGCACTTGATGTTCTTTTTCTTCCAGGTCACATGGAGCTAGAGAAAGAATGCCCGCTTGGTTGTGTCAAATGAACAGAGAGCTGCAGTAAAGGCTCTCATGGCTGTTGTTAATTCATAATCAAGCAATTGTTTTATAAGATTTTCATTCTCCCCTGTTAAGCTCTGGGATGTGTATTGTTGGTGACGTGCCTCCTCCTTCTCCAGCAGACACAACTGTTTCCATACTGTACACTGCAGGGGCAGCTGGTTCTCCAAATAACTGGACACTCCATTTTCAATTCCACTGAGGACTTCTTCAACTTCACTGAATGCCATTCGACAGATTTAATCTTCATCAACATTAATGTTGAAGTCATTGGCCATACCAGCTGTACCTACGAGGTTTGTGGTGTGCAGGTATGGAATAAAGCGATCCAGAACATCTCTTAAGTTTTCAGCAATTTCTTCCTCATCACCTTCACAGCCATTAAGCATTGTTCCATCGGGCAGTTCTAAATCCTTCATCAGCCTTTGTTTAATTTTTTCATTATGGTTCTCTTTTCCATCCTCTACTGATGTTGAACAGTCGATTATAATCATGTGGCTTTTATTGTCTCTCCATGAGGCAAGTAGTTCTCGTTCCTTGACACCAAAACTTCTGCAGAACGCTATGAGGATTGCAGATGTGTAACACAGAAGACTCATTTGATTTTCACAGCTAGCTGCATCTCCATGAAGATTAGCTACTAGCACAGGACGAGGGAAGACGTTGTCATGATGATCTCCTGAAAGCAGGTTCCAACGCACCTCCACAAGACCATCAGAGAGAACTCGAGGCAGCTGTCCTCCCTCCATACCACAGTTTATGAAGCAGTCATTCACCTCATGTGGACCCCCAAGAACACGGTTGAGTACTCAAGATTTTGAGACATTGCAGCAACCTAGCCTCACTGCTGAGAGAAATGGCATTCTGGAATTGGCCATGTTCTTCATTATAGGTCCCTCAGAAGGTGACTTTCACTGACCTAGAACACCTCTAAATGGAGACAGGAGGATGGCTCCTTTCTTTTCTGGGTGAATAGGTGGAAAATACAGAGGCACTGCAAAGTTGCACTGCAACATTCGCAGGGTGATCTCTTGCTGTAGGAAATTATTTGTTGTCATT